GGCGCAATTTGTTCTAAAAATAGAAAAATTGTCCCATATCATAGGTGCGCGCGAATCCCGAGACTTACGGTCTCCGTCCCCGATTATGGCTCCTGATCGTATCGAAGATTCGAAGTTGAAGTCGTTGAGGTAGAGGTAACACGATTTCTTCAACGAGAATTTTTTAAAAAATTCGCAATGTCTGTCACCTGTTGGTTGAATTTCTGACGCAGTTGCTCTACTTCCCGCCAGGGCTTAGCTTTGATGATCGAACGAGAAGCGGTACTTTCCTTCTGAGACAAGGTTTTCACGGTGTCACATCTCCATATGTATTCTGTCACCGTTGCGTTTTGCGTAATTTCACCGATTTAACTGCACTTTTCTCCTCTCCAGCTCGACAAAATAACGATACACCGCATGAACTGTGTTAAAAGTTCAGCGCGGTGGCCTCATTGCCACCGTTTACGAACATATTTATGTGGTACCCAGATCTCCCACTTCCAAACAGCCATAATCCAAAACTTCGCTCAAATCACTGGATTTCTTACTAGCATTTTCTGCCCAACCAGACGAACATAAACTGACTAAATGAAAACCTGTAAATTCGCTTAATAGAAGACAAAGGAAAATCAGGTAAATTACTCATTCAAATTCCATTACTTAAGCTCACTTCAACCCCACTCAACTGTATTGCAGATAGGCCAAACCCCAAGAGCACACTACTGTGATTAAACCCGTGAAACGGTCTAAAAATAACTTATTGGGACCTAGCAGGTTATCCACAGTACTGACCTATCGAACACCCTGCCAAGATGTTTATTTTTATTTCCCGATTCCCCACAGAAAACTAGCATATTTGTTAGTAAAGCTTGAAGCAAGACGTACCTTTGACTCCGCTACATGAAACAATCCCAGGTCACTGAGAGTTGCATCCACCCGCTGTTCTCGTTCACGTTTGCTCAGCTTGCCCGGAAGTCGTAACGCTGCTGAGAAATGAAGATTCTCCCTCACAGTAAGGGTGCCCATCACGACATCTTCCTAAAAGCAAACAAATAGCATTTTATAGCTCTTAGAGACCAAGCTTAGGTCTTGGTTTATTGAGTTCCACTCTCCTTCAAGTGTTGTACCCATTCAGGTGAGCTTATATTGTTGTTCCTAAATAAAATAGTTAGTTAAGGTGGCTCGGAACAGTTTCCAGCAGATAGAATTTGATGGGTCGTTATAACCACTCTTTATCACTTGATGCTACAATTATGATCTCAAAAAACTGCCCAATCATTGGTTAACCTTAAAGGTTTTGAAACTTTAATGTGGCTCTGAACCTTATGTACCGAATTTTTAAACTCTGCCAAAAGTTGCATCTTATCATGCTTATTAAAATTTAATAAATTATAGAGAAAAATTTCACTGTGTCGTTTTTGGATTATAAGCCCCTAAAGCTGTAATCAAGGGTGTTTTTAGCAGGTCATATTGTTGCTATGGTAACATATTGTGTCACAGAAATGATAATAAAGTGTTCACCAATGAGGGCAGTTTTTTGAGACCATGATTGTAGCATCAAGTGATAAAGAGTTGTTATAATGACGTATCAAACTCTAATTGCTGGAAACTGTTTTGAGCTACCTTAAATCATGAGAAACTTAGTTGGGCAAACATTTCGAAGTTGCTGTCCATTGGTAGGGTTCACAAGACTCCATCTGAAGAGTTTACCTGTACAACATATCCTGTGATACACTTGAAATTACTAGGCTGTCTGACTCCATTAACAAGGACATGACCCGACAAGTGTTTGCGATCCTTTCGTCCAGCTAATATGTCAAGAAACCTTTAAGAAGAAAAAAATTGACAAGAAATTAAAAGTGTTGTACATGTTATTTTTATAGCCTGACTGAAATCAGGGCAGGAAAAAGATTTTGAAATCCAGTTGCCCAGTGGGTCAGTACATTTCAGTTTTCAGTTGCCCCCACTAAAATATTACTTGCCCAATAGGCCCACAATAAACATGAGCAAAGTATGCTTGGATTTTAAATTGATCCATGCTTTCAACTCATAGTTTTGCTCATCTTGCAGCCTTGATGTTTTTGATTGGAAATTATCACTAACAATACTACTGAGGCTAATTTCACTTGCCCACTGGACCACCAAACTTCCATTTTCACTTGCCCAAGAGCAAAATTTACTTGCCCTGGGCAATTGGACCTGGGTTTTTCCTGCCCTGCCAATTTATATGGTACATGTATGTAAATACTAAAAATTATTGACTACCTTATGTACCAGGTATGATCAGTCAAAGTCAATATAAATCAATAAATGCATTCAGCAAGGACAAAATTATGCTAACTTCTAGCAGCTCTGATGACTGTTACCCTACCAAAACCAAGGCCAAGATACCAGCTTCTGACATGCAACATTTTTCTAACTTTATATCTACTAAGAGCAAATTTAAAACTCATGGAATTGACATTCAGGAACAGAGAAAAAGACATAAAAGAAGGAGATAATGAAGATAAAGATGAACAATTTGATGAGGATAACAACTGTGACAACAACGAGATTCCGAGTGGGTGTGGTCACTACTGTCATTACATTTATAGTGACAAAGTGTATAGTATGTAAGTTATTTTCACAATAACTGAGAAAATTGTTGTGCATTTGTGGTTGAATAGACCATAAAAATGATGTAACATTTTGTAATGTAACGACAGAAAAATGTGGCTGATTTGTGAAATATTAATGAATATTAATTGTTAAACATTAAACATCAATTTCTTAGTTGGGGTAAAGAAAACATAAAGCCATAGCTGAGCTCAGGTTTTTTTTTTACAACAGTACAAAAAGGGGCTGAATGTTATTGTAAATTTAATACTATTCAGATAGCATTACATGAGATTAGCAGTATAATGACAGGTTTGATTGGCTTATCTGTAATAACTTAACAATCATGTGTCCTTATACTGACTTACGTGGTTTTGCCACTTCCTGTGGGCCCCAGTATTGCATTCAGTCCTGGCTCCATTATACCACTTCAAACAATGCAGGAGCAAATTAACATTAATTAACTGAAAACTGAGTACTTGTTATACATTATTAATAGCTGCTACAAGTACTAGATTACTACAATTTAATGGAGCAGTTTCCAATTGAGGGTATAAGTGAAACCAAAACTAGAGTAACCACTCTGAAGATATGGACAGTTCATCACACATATTGCAGCTCAAAGTGTCGCTGAATACATTAAGCAGGCATGAAGAAGAAGAAAGCATCTGGGAGCGAGTCACAATAATATTATTATTGGTTTCGCTTTTACTTCTGATTGCATGACAAGGTAGCATTCGTTTTTAACCAATCCTTTAGTGTAGTAATCCAAAACCAAAGCAAATGCAAATTACCTTTCACACTCAAGGAAAAACTGCTCTAATGATAGATCTACTAAATATAATTAGAAGAATTCTACTTGTATACTAATGCCATTGCTGCAATCTGATTGGCTTGGCTACTCATACACTATCAGCCATTATAGTTCGCCACAAATTTTCTCTGATTCTTATTGGTTTAAATTGATCAGGTGATGTGATAGTGTTCATCTACAGAGAGATACTTTCAGCCCATAGCGCCCATCCAAGGAAGATACCTGGATGGATAGTACTCATACGTGAAAATTTGTCTGTGAACAGGCAGGCTTACAGAAAATAAAAAAATTTATTGAAATTGTATTAAGTAGGTTTTTGTCTGTTTTCTTTTTCAAATTTTACATTTGACTTTCATGACTTTCATCTAAAAAAGTTGAAAATAATTCAGTATGATTTTTTAACCGGTGCATGGAAGAAATTTTAGTGGTGAACAATAAAGACAATAGAGTGTTTGTGGCTCAGAACTATCGGTCTGATAGTTGCCCCTTGGAAATTTGATGTTCTTAACACTAGCTTATTTACCTGAGAATCTTTGCTTCTCTGCAAATATTTGTTTGAAGAACGTCAAATTTCTGTGGGGCAACTATCAGCCGATAGTTCTGAGACACAAACACTCCATCGTTTAATTAGTGTGCAGTCGCTGGGGGACGTTTGTATCATGGCAACGAGGAAGGAGGAAGATTTAGAAATACTACTGGATAATTCAATTCCACAGAAAAAAAGGAAATTGAGATCTTGTGCTTCTTAAGAACCTCAATATTTTTCAATGAACTGATAAGTGTATGTAAACAGCTGCAAGTTTCACACAGCAATTCGCCCTGAAAAAAAAATTTCCTAAATTGTCATCTTAAATACTACTCAATATGTATAGAAATTATTGGAAAACATTATCGGAAAGGAATTTAATTAATCAAACAAATTATTAGACTATTTGCTGAAGAGATTGTCTGATCTATTTGGCCTTAAAATGCCTCATCAACTGCCATCTCAAAGAAATGTCACACTCATAATCTAATTGTTGATTAGTAATGATCAAATGATTTGGTAAAGATCAAGTAGTTAACTCAATCATTTTCATTCCAATATTTCAATCTCAAAGTAGACTTAAGAAAATATATACACACTAGTTGCACACTCTATGCCATGGTCTAGAGTGGCTTACTGTGAAATTAAGTATCCCTCATTAGTGACTTGATTTTTTTCAGTAAACACACTCACGTAAAGGCTCATTGAGTGTATGTAGTTAAATCAACAGCAAATCACTTGTGAGAAATTCACTGTAGGCCAAAAGAAAACACAGCATAACTATATTCCATGCATCCCTCTCCCATTTACACAGGATGTACAATGGGTAAATAAATGATTGATTAATTGATTGATTGATTGATGTGGGTATAGACAATGATTAACTGATTGATTGATTGATTGATTGACTGATTGATAGATTGATTGATTGATTGATTGATTGATTGATTGATTGATGCACACTCGTGCAAATATTATCCTCAATGAAACATCAACATAATTTTCACTCTTGGCATTTGCTTAAGCCCTTTTCTGCTAATATTAGATCTCAAGGTTGCCTTGTTGATGAATTGGTGAGGAGGCTACCAAAAAAATAGGGTAAAGTTCTGGATACCAGCCAAGTGGAACATCAAGCCGGTGCTTATCTCCCGTTTCTGGCACATGAAGCAACTAAGAGTATTTCTACTCCTCCCTGAATGGGATGCTAGTCCATCGCAGGGTTATCCCCAGCATTAAATTTGTTGGTACTCATTTATACACCTGGGTGGAGAGAGGCACTGTGAGAGTAAAGAGTCTTGCCCGAGAACACAACACAATGTCCCCAGCCAGGGCTGGAACCCTGACCCCTCAATCCAGAGGCAAGCACACTAACCATGAGGCCACCATGCCTCCACAAAAAAGAAGTGATTACATGTAATTAAATGATTCAGTCAGGGAGCAAATTGGAACCTTAATAAGATCACTTCTTCTATTATTTTCTTCATTATCACTGCTACGATAGTTGTGCACATCTGCAGTGCAGTGTTGTGTTTTAATAACCTACATGTTATTAATATTTTCTTTAAAAGATCTGTTAAAATACATATGCATATGAATTCATAAATGTGGTTTGCAGGCTTCTTAATTACTTTTTTCTTACCTGAGGTTTTTAATGATTTGCCTCTCAGTTTTTACTCCTTTCACCTTGGTAAAGATTGAGTAACAAATGTTGTGATATGATATCACTGTTCCAATGTCAAAACCTGATTCATCTGATAATGAACAGCTTATGTTTGAGTGTTTACAGGCAGTGCTATTGTAAACCTCATGATGGTTTTCAAGGTTTTCCTCAGCATGTAATAATGGAGTCCTTCCACTGAAGGGATTATCACTTTCCTGTCAAACATAAGACAATCAGATTTTAAAAAAGTTATTGTTTTTAACAAAATTATTTCATTAATCATGTTGTGCAGTCTGGAATTTGAACACCATTAATGGTTAAACATGAATTGACAAGTATTAAAGGAGAGCAAAAATAAGCCGAACATTAGTGAATATTGAAATAGGAGAAGATTGAAAAACGTTTGTATAAAAAGAAATAAAAATACTGTGAGGATTTAGTATACTGTGCAAACTTGTACACTAAAGTCTATACAACTTTGCAATGACGCAGCTCTGGTAAGTTATATGTGCGACTCTCTTTAAATAAAATCTCTATAATTTGAAATTCACTTTAATGTTCTCTTGTCTCTTTCTCCTTCTTTTCAAACAGCTTAAAGGTTGACAACATATCTGGTAGCCTGGTGGTAGCCTGAGGCTAATAAAAATGACGTCTGGCAAGTAAAATTTCATATTTTCTCACTCTTGGTATTCGCCTTATGTTCAGAATACATCAACTTTATTGCAAAGTATAGGTAATTTATATATGTTATTTTGTTGCTGTTGTTACTCGTTATTAGCAAATCCTTGAGATATAAACAACCAGAGTGCTTATTTCTAATTCCGAGTCTAAGCATGAGCCCAGTCACCGCCCAATTTTCAAGACATGGCATCACCACTACTCCCCAAATGGAAATTTCAATGTGCTCATATTAGAAGGTGGGCCAGCCCTGTTATCTGATTGGTCTGGACCATGCTTATACAGTATGATAAGGTGAATTTTATTTCTCCAAATGCAACATTAAACAATACCCTAAAGTCTAAAAATATTGGCTTTCAATCCTAGACACTGATAGCCTGTAAACAGGTTCCTGGCAAGAACAGGAAAAATGTTCCGCTAAGCTGAGGAGTGCAAAAAAATGAAATCGGCAAGCAAACCGAGTAGGGCAAGACAGGGCGAGATGAGGGCTGTATTGATGTTCTATGGATGCTGCCGTTCGAGGATATCAGAATCTGGTATCTTGATCTGATTGGTTAAATCACAGACAGCTTTGAGATAAATATATGACAGATCTTTAGGCCTACATGACTGCTATGGTTCATGACATGTGTGTTTGCCATTCTCCTTTTATTTCTGGTCTCTCAACCTTTCTTTGCTTCCCAAGTGTTTCTAAAGGGCAATTTATGCTGTCTTATGAGGAGGAATTTTAAGTAGAGTGTAGGCTGTTTGATTACAACTGTTTGCAATACAGGAAATGTGGCCTCTTATCACAGATATCATGTTTAAAATTTTTACACAAGCCTTATAAATTACCTTCTTGACTGAGTTGTAACAGGCTAATCACCAGATTGGTGCATCCAAAACAAAGTCTACAGGCTCCTCCATCTCACCCCGCTCGCTTCACTCGCCAATTTCTGTTTTTTGCGCTTGTTGGCTCGCTTCACTTGCAAAACAATTTTTCTATCCTTGGCACGAGCCAGTTCACAGGCTAGGAAACAGACTGATGCCACAATCTACAATTTACATCCCTAGAGACAAGCATCCCCAACCCTTTTCACATGGGAGTACCCACTGGCTGTGATAAATATGAGAGTCTTCAACTGGCCAAAGAAATCACAACTTAAGAATTCAAAAGGCTTTAGAAAGTAAGGTGTAGTCACTAAAAATTGTATAGGAAGTCAGTTGATTCAATCAATAATAATCATGATTGCTATTGATTGATATCTGCAATAGATAACAATCAAACCCACACAAAATTCTTTATCAATAATTGCTATCAATTGACAAAAATCATCAACAATCAATAATTACCGTCTTTTTCCTTTTATTTAACTTCATCTAACTAAAATACTAAATTATATACGTTAAAAATTCATTAGGCAGGGAGACCACTACAGCATAGCCAATCAAGAATGTCGACAATGATCAGTTGACAACATATCTGGTCATTTCCGCCCTATCGACTGCATCCTGAATATTAATTTTTGGTAAATCAGATTCCGACACTGCACGCTGTGCTGAGTGGCGGAATGTGCACAACCCTCCAGATTGCTGCCATCTTTAGGTAAAAGGTGCTGAATTTCGTTTGGCAGAAGCTGTTATCTCAAAGAATGTAAAGCCCAAAATGAATTTTTTGTTTTGAAGATAAAATGACTCAATAAATCCACGACAAACAAATTTTGTCAATAATTTTATCAGTGAAACTTAAGCTATATAGTAACAAAGGACAAAAATAAGGACAAAAATAATTTTCAATAACAATCAATACCAATTGATAACAATAGAACTCACAACTTTTTTACTGCATCAGTTTCCTTTGATTGTTATCGATTGATATCGATTATCGGTTTATCGATTGACTACGCCTGGAGAAAGATGTAAAGAAAGGTTTGAAGAATTTAGCCCGCGGTAGATCTTAACCCCCGTTTTGATGAGTTTTCAAAACTTTGAGAAAAGTTGTATCTTGCTGATCACAATTTCGTCTTAAAATTAGGGTAACCTATCAGTGTGACCTTTACAGCAATTGAAGAGCTATGTTGATTGATAAATAAAAATCGAAGCGATTTGGAGACATTGGAGCAGCAACTTCAGCAAGAATAGATTTGAATAGACTCGTTGTCGGACGATTGAAACAGTGGTTATTCACTGAGATGCAAAATGAGTTGCGGCTTATTGTACAGCTCCGCTTGTTTTCAATATACAAAAACGAGTTACAACAGAATTAATCGTACCTTGTGCATGTCTCTCGCTTGTTGTCGG